ACTCATTTATTGTATGATTGGTCGTCCTATGATGTTTGAGTTATTGCAGGTGTATCTCATTGGCTCCTTGGCTCACCTTAGACTTTGAGAACATTTAAATGCATTTCTTTCCATTTTCATCTTCGCGCCAAGTGCCATTCCGACCAAACCCTAGACGTCACTAGCAAGGACCTTCTCAGCTCCGACCACACCGTCGTCCCCGTCGATTTTCCGATTCCGCCGGCATGGAATCTTCCGAACAAAAGTATGTTCTTTCCCTCTCTCTCTCTCTCTCTCTCTCTCTCTCTCTCTATATATATATATATATATATCTTATTTATAGGGTTTTTTAAGATTTTGGTATTGTTCTTGGAATAGATGGTCATGTGTCCTTTTCCCCTAATATTTGTTTGACGTCGTAATGTGAATTGTTATTTGGCTATGGTTGAATGGTTTTGCTGTTGAAATTGGGTTACTTTACTTTTGGTGTGGTTTTAGAGGGATTATCATTGTGAAGTTGCGAAGGGGGCAAGAGCTGAGTCATCTGCAGCCACTGTCACTTATGAGGAGTTGATGGATATGTTGACTCTTGATGAGAAGAAGGCTTGGGTTGAAAGTAGTCCTACCAAAGTCTTTGACTTTGATCCTAAAATCGAGAAGGTTGGTTGTTTCTTACGTTTGTGCTTCTTTTTAACGGATGTGATAATCTGATTTTGTAAAGGTCATTGCTTTAGATTCTTGCTGTGCTGGTTATCTGAATCCTTATCTTAGTGGTTCAATTATACATCATTTGATTTCTGCTCGGTCTTACTAAGCATGAGGATACATTTAATGGAATATTACTAAGTAATCAAGTATCTTGGTGCTTCTTAAGGGAAATAGGAGATGGAAGTTAAATGTACTGCTTCTCCTCAGGAGTGACACTGAATGTGTTTAATTGGTACTTCATCTTATAATACATTTGTTTGTAGCAGTTCTTTTTATCTCGGGAGGGGTCTAGAGTTCACCTTTCCCCGATTTGTATTTATAATTGACTTTTCCTCTAGTTATCAACCTTTTTATTTTCGATAGGTAGAAATCTTGTATTTCGTATTATCCTAATGCTGCTTAACTTCTGGAAATGGGGAAGTTCCCCAATGAAGAGCCAATCGTCAAAAGGTTTTTGTCTTAAGTAGATTGTAGACAGTAGTTATACAATCTTATGAGTTATAGGTGGGTAGATGTTTACTACTTCTGTTAAGCTTGTGCGTCTGAAATTCTGTTTCTAGCAAGATGTGGTTTCTAGGAGGGAACACACAGGTTATGATGGTAGGGGTAATTGAGGCACTGTAGAATGCAAGTGATGATTATAGTGGTGGTTACAGGGCTTGCTTTTGGACCTAGTTTTCAGGTTCTGGTTCATGTCGCTAAATTTTGCAGTCCTTTATTGTATCTTTGGTCATGCCATGATATTTGAATTGCTGCATGTATATTATGTGGAATATCTTGAGGCAGTTGATCTGAATACCAAATATATTTTTATTGGCTCCATTAAAGGTAGTTCATAAAAATCCTATTTAAATGAAAGCTATTCATTCAAATTTCATATGACAGCCAAAAAGTCTTTGAGTTGTCCATTTTCAGATAAATGATGTTGTGTATGTTTGAATTATAGTCACCAATAGTAGAGGGATTCTATTGCAAGTGCTCTTTAACTGGCCAGTGCTCCAAGACAATAATTTGGTGTGCATTTTATACACATATACGTCATCTAGGTAGTGGATTCGGATCCCAGATTTGTTAGCTAATTCATTTGAATCTTGTATTGTCTCTGTTACAGCTTGCTTAGGCTTAAATTGTTCATTTCCATGAGAATATGAAGAAAAAAAAAATTACTTCAATAACAGTTTCCTTGATGTTCAATAACAGTTTCCCTGATGTGATTGTATCACCATTGCTTCAATTCTGTGTCATAATTCCTGATGGCCTATCTCAATCTTCTTTCTTTTTTTGTTTCCTTTTTTGAACTTTTTCTTTTGAAAGGTCGTGGTGGTTGATCCTGAAGCATACACCTATGATGATCAAGTGATCAAGAAAGCAGAAGCTACGGGGAAGCCTGGGCTTGTGGATATCATTGCAAAAGAAGATAGTTTTATTTTCACAGTGGAATCTACTGGTGCGGTCAAAGCTTCTCAGTTGTTACTCAATGCCATTGAAGTCCTGAACCAGAAACTGGGTGCAGTGCGCCTTTCTGAGGATACTGTAGAAGCTGATGATCAGTTTGGTGAATTAGGTGCTCATATGCGAGGAGGATGATCCAATTAGGTGCTAAATGGATCTTTCATAGATTTCGATGGGACATGTTTATATGCTGCGCTTGCTGCCTTTACTAATTTCACTCTACTGTGGATGCTAATCTATTATCTGCTATGCATGTCTTTGGATATATGCCAGACCATTCGCATCTGTGTTTGTTGTTGGAGTCGTCGTCACAAATGTTTAAGCGAAACACATAGACAATGCTTAACTCTAGTGTAGCTTGCACTTTATATTTACCCTTTGTTGTAGTAATCAACTTACACCAAGGATTCGCTTTTGCAGAATCTCCACATATATTCTCTCTGAAAACTTGAAGCTTGAATTCAAAATTTAAAGAAATTTGGGTGCTGGGGATGAAAGATCATACTGGAAATGATTTGACGTTTGGAATTTGGTAGAAATATCTCACCTCCAGATAACAAAATTTTGGAAATGATTTACTGAAAGCATTTTGCATTTTGTGTCTTCAATCCAATATTTGCCTTTGCAATACATAATTGGTTGGCATTAAACATCAAAACGGCGTTTCATGACTTAGCCGTTATTAGAGAATAAAATTCATGGAAAAGAGAAGGAAAAATACAAATGGACAAAATAAAAATAAAAAAGGCCCACAATAAAAGGTGGATTGGAAGTGAGCTAGTACAATTCAAAACAAATACAAAGGCCCAAAAAGCCAAGCAGTCCAACCGATAACACCCGAAGCCAGCCCAAAAATATCTGTATTTTGTGACAAAATGCTTCATATTTGTTCTTACCCTACAAGTTGGAAGGGAAGAATATAATTGAACTCTTGTCCTGCGAAGATATAATTATTTTGTAACTCCAACTATAAATCAAACTTTTAAGGCCTAGTATGGAGATGCACTATTGAAGAAGCTCAAGGTTGCAGTGGGATCATAGGTTAAAAGCATCTACCTAGATGCACCCGAGATCATATATTCGATTCTCATTGCTCTAATGTTATTTGTATAAAAATAAAAATAAAAAGACAAAGCTCAAGGACTAGTCTAACCTCAAGCTGTAGGTGCAGAGCAGTAGAGTTAATAGTTAGTAATTGATTGCGATTTCTGCCATTTCCTTATTTATGATTCACAGTTTAATCCAGGATATCACACCTGTGAAGCTTCTTCTTCTTCTTCTTCATTCTTTTTTTTCTTTTTCTTTTCTTTTTTCTGTTTTGGGGGGAAAGTGGATGTGGAAGGAAAGAGTTGATGGCACACCTACTCTTAATAGTGTACTATAAATCTATGACAATAGTCACGGGCTTTGTTTTTGTATGAACAAAATAAAAAGATTTTAAAAAAAAATTTGGGCCAAATAATTTATATCGTTTTGGAGTTGCAGGTTGTGGTATGTACGAGGCCATAAAGGCCAGAGGCTCTTTGGTTTGCCTCGGATAAAAATCTAAAAGAATAGTTATTTCATGATGCAAATTGATGCATATGGTTTTACGTTGTTAAATTTTACATCTGGGATTACCTTAATATATATATGCAATAGGCTCTCCAGCTATTTCAAGTGTAACCACATGGAGCTTAATGCGGTCCTTTTCACATCTTCATATATCCTTTTTGTTGTAGGGATAGCGGAATTTGGTAATGCCCACGAACTATTAATGCATCAAGAAAGTTTTGGGGATTTATATGTGCATACATGTAATATAATTCTATATAGTTTTCTAGTAAATCCTCAAGGAACGAGAGCTCAGATGTCATGTTCGACGACTATTTGACTCTAAAAACTTATTAATTGACCAACAATTTATATCAAGTTAACACTCTCAATTACGTTTCTGCACATAAAAGATACCATATGCATACGAAACATCATGTGCAGCTCCACCCTACAAGAAATGACTAAGACATTATATGTGTGTGGGGATGGGGGTTGACTATTCCACACGTTATGTCATATCTTGTGAAACTTATGACGACAAACTCTACTTATAAATAAGGAGGAGAACATATCATGTATTCTACTTCATTGTTTTTGGGTTTTTGACTGTCTTATATATATACTTACTACGGCTGAAGTTATGAAGTCCTTGCATATTCCCAAGGGGGTACTCCGTGTGCTGTTTAGAACATTAAACACTGACAGGTACTTTTATACAATCGCCACTACTCACACACATCTGTGTGTACCAGTTATGTTGTATAATTGTAGTGCTTATAGTCGCCACTACTCACACGTTATGTCATATCTTCGTGTGCTGTCAGATATTGTTAGATGGTTTATAATTTGATCCCTTAGTAGTTTCTAGTAACTATGATGATTCCCATGATTATAATTTGATCCCTTAGTCAGTAGTTTCTAGTAACTATGATGATTCCCATGAATAAGAATGCCTTGTTTGTTCAACTAGCCATTTTCGGATAAACAAGGAAAATGTTGTGTCTGAGGTGACCTTATTCATATATTGATAAACAGAGTACACAATCATAGGTGCAAATACACAGCAAATCCAATGCATACAATCTCCAGCTCAGCAATATTCTAGAAGAGAAGGAACTTACTAGTCATATATCCATCCTACACCTGTCATCATCTCCATATTCTTTGTAACCAATTCTATTCCAGATTATTCTTTTCAAGTGTATATAAACAGTGGTACTCTCACTGTACAAGTATCAATGAAATATACAATGCCAACCTTTCTTTTACTCTGTTCTTAATTCTTCACATGGTATCAGCCGCCTAAAACCCTACGGTACTATCCTATGGCCTCCTCTGACTCTCTACCTCTTCCTTCCTCTTCTTCCTCCTCTTCTTCTCTCTCTACTTTTTCGGCTTCTGCCATTCCCTCCCACCACATCGCCACTCTCATCCCTGTCAAACTCAACAGAGATAACTATCTTCTCTGGAAATCCCTCTTCACTCCCATTCTGCAGAATGCTGACCTCTATGGCCTTCTTGATGGTTCTGACCAATGCCCACCCCAATTTCTTCCTACCCTTGAATCTAATCCCGCTTATCCTACATGGGTTGCCAGAGATCGTACCTGCAAAATTTGGCTCCATGCTGCCATCTCTGAGTCTGTTCTCCCTTATACAGTCGGTTGCTCCTCCGCCCAATCTCTCTGGGACAACCTCGAGAAACGCTTCTCTGCCATCACTCGCTCCCATATCCTTCAGCTTAAGGGTCAGCTCCAAACCCTGAAAAAGGGATCTGACCCGATGATGCTCTATCTTGAAAAAATCAAGGCTCTTGCCGACGGTCTAGCCGCCGCCGGGGCTCCCCTTGCCGATCTTGACCTTATTGCTCACATTCTTCGTGGCCTCCCACCTGAGTATGACTCTTTTGGTACTTCGATCAGAGTCCGCTCTGACCCCATCGACCCTGATGCTCCAAAACTTGATTTCATCAATGATTGGACTACTGAAGTTTCCACTAATTCAATTTGATTCGTAAGTCTGAAACTATTGCTGAATATTAACAAGAGCTTACTGCAATTTTAGACGGCTTATGTTCCAAAAGGAGTTTGACAGCAGCTATGTGGGATTTATGAAGGATGGAGCACGGTGGTTGGTGGACAACACTGACATTAAACTTGTTGGTGAGATATACGTTCGCATTTCTCTTTTGGCTTAATTATTGTTTTTCCCTTATACTTTTTCAAATCTCACTTTACCCCCTGCACTTTCGACTGTCTCACCTTACCCCTGTTAATGGATTCTTTAACAGAATTGGCAGAATAGGGCAAGGCGAGGTACAAAGTTAAATAAAGGGGGTAAAGTGAGATTTGAATAAATGTACAGTGGAGAAAACAATGACTAAGCCTTTTCTTTTTTGGCATAACATATAGTTTACAACAGATTTATTTGTCAGGTTGATCGAACTTAACAGGCATCTATTAAGTTTAAGTACATAATTCCTTTTAAAAAAAATTAAGTAGATAATGCAAGATGTATTCCATGCCCCTTATATTCCTTTTATTGAGTGAGAACTTTCTCTGCGAAACATTAGTTTCCTAATATTCGTTTGAAACAGCGACACTATTGTTCAGTGTGCATTTGTATTTAGGGTAATATAGTCTTGAATTTGAGTTCTTTTTAGGTGGGAGACTGTTGATTTCCTTGCTTTTTATATTATCATTTTTGTTCCTCATCTGAAGCTGATGCTTTTTTCTGTTATGAAATGTAGGAATTGATTACTTATCTGTTGCTGCATATGATGATTTGATTCCGTCCCACCTTGTTTTTCTAGAAGGCAGGGTAAGAAAAATATTTGATGAATCAAGAAAAAAGTGGTTTCTCAAGATCATGACTGTTTTAGTAGATTCGTTCAAGTTGGTAGATTGTTTGTTGCCATCCAGCCACTGTCCAACATTAATTAGTTTAGCACCAAAAGAAGAGGTAGTTTTAATACTCTACACTAACCACTGCTCTAATGTATCAGGAAATCATTCTTGTTGAAGCCTTAAAACTTGATGACATCCAACCAGGAATATATTCTGTCCACTGCTAACCTTTGAGGTTGCCAGGTGCAGAAGGATCACCGATAAGATGTATTCTTATCAAATGATGCATCTGCTTATTTTCTCATCTTTGTAAGTTTCGTGTTTTGAAAGTCTGTTTTGAACCATCGAAACCCATTCTCATGCCAAAGGCATTTGCCTTTTTGGTTTTAACGTGGGAATATATATCAGCTCGCAATTATTCTTTTTATCATTTTGAGTTGTCATCAATTTGAGTGATAGACCTTTATTCTTTTTGTCATATTTATTGCAGGAAATGATGATCGCCCCAGGATAAGCAGCATGGAATAAAGACGCATCAAGACTGAACATAGATCGTGCTTGCAAGGAATGGGATAGATATGCAATGTAAATTATCATCTTGGATAATTGGAACACCATGTTCTAGTGGCCTACCGGAACTGTTACCGGTAGGACATTGAACATACAATATCCAGTGCTTCCTTGAACCTTCAATATCCAACACATACCTTGGTCTCACAGATTTCTCATTTAAGAAAAAATTTCTGTTTTCCGAATGTAGTTGGATTGGACCTCAATTGTGTGAAGTTAATTACTGTTGTAGAATCCTTTCCTGCTTATGTCAACCACTAGATCCCAATAACTTAGAACATATATCAAGCTACCATTGTGAAGAGAATAGATGCATGTGGAGATAGAGACAGTGCAGCCCCATCTAACTGGCAAAAACTTGTCACGTAAGAGTACTTCTAAGGGAGATTTTAAACGCAAAATGGTAAATTTGAATTTAATGAAGAGATAAATTAATAATAATCTCATCAATGTCTCCAAAATGACATACAAGTGGTGCTTTTAATCAAGGTTGTTGATAGTTGACTCCATTTGAGTACTCTACAGAAGATCAGTATCACACCATCATTTCTAGTGAGACTGATCTGACCTGGGCTAGGTCCAGATCTGGCCTTAAATGAAAAAAATTACTTTCTAATATATGTGTTTGGCCTAAGGCAAGATGAGGAGCTGGTTTTGCCTACTTTTTGGCCTGGGCTGAGTTCACTGTCAATTTTTGAAAAGAAAAAAAGTAGGAAAAGCTGACACCAACAGCCATTGAGAAGCTGTCACATGGCGCTCTCAAATGCAGCGGCCCAACGGCCAATTGCTGGCCCTTTTTTTTCCTCATAACCCTATAAAAACCTAACCATTTGTTCATCACCTTCTCACCTAAAAAATCTCTCAATTACTCCAAACATTTCTAATTATTTGTCTTTTTTCATTTTGCTCAAAATTGTTGTTCCAAAATATGACGCAAAATTGTTTCCCAAAAATAAATGTTTGTGTTGCTTTTCTTATACTTTAATTTTTATCACAAATAAAATAATAATAAACTAAAATAACAAGTTTTGAGTTTTAGCCCTTAGTCCCTCACCACCACTAGAACCACACAAAAATTGACATGCTAGATTTTATAAATGGTACCATTTTAAAAGGCCAAAACAGCATCTAATCCCTTGCCCCTTGCCCCTTTCCCCTTGCCCCTACATTAGACAAGCTCTTAGAATTACAAACATGAATATTAACGTTCCTTATAGGTGAAAGTTCGGGACACTTGCAGAAGAAGAGCAAAAACCTTATAAAAGATGAGGATGCAAGTTTTGATTGGGTTGGCCCTTTTAAAATTTTGACCCTATTTTTTATAATTAAGTTGGGCCTGGATTATAGACTGAAGAGAGAGCCCTATAATGGCGGCCCTTGAGTGTGAACACGAAAAAGTCTGAGTGTGAACACGAAAAAGTCTGGGTATGTTCTGGGTCTGTTCTCTGCTAATGTAAAGTGACAACTTGACAATAGCCCTTGTGCCATTTTATTTTCTTCTCCTCGCATATCCAAAGCAACCAAACTATAATATTTAACAGACCACCAGACCAGAAATATGACATCCTAATAACTTTTCTTTTTGGTCTAATTTAAATGAGTCCCAATAGCTTGATTAGTTACTTCAACGATGTTCCTCCAACATGAGTTATCCATGATGATTTTTGCCTTAATTTTTCCCTCATATATAGCGAGCAACGATGGAGACTATGGTGAACATTGTCATTGACAAGTTGGTTCCATTGTTAAGGGAAGAAGGGAATTTGTTGAGAGGTATCCATGACTAGGTTACAAGTCTAAAAGATCTCATAGAGAGCATGACGTTTTTCCTAAAAGATGCAGATGCAAAAGCAGAAAGGGCAAACATGAGCACAGGGGAAAGATCTATGCGCATCCATTGGAAATATGCCTCACTTGAAAACATTGGAAGTAAAAGCAATAAATGATGATGAAATTATTGATTTACAACGTATCTCCTCTCCACCTCAAAATCTTCAATCTCTCGGTTTGATAGGGCTTCTAGAAAAGCTACCTAATTGGATTGCAGGACTTTGTCTTTTAACTCGATTAGCTTTATGTTGGTCGAGACTAGCGGGGGATTCCCTCACCACCACTAGAACCACACAAAAATTGACATGCTAGATTTTATAAATGGTACCATTTTAAAAGGCCAAAACAGCATCTAATCCCTTGCCCCTTGCCCCTTTCCCCTTGCCCCTACATTAGACAAGCTCTTAGAATTACAAACATGAATATTAACGTTCCTTATAGGTGAAAGTTCGGGACACTTGCAGAAGAAGAGCAAAAACCTTATAAAAGATGAGGATGCAAGTTTTGATTGGGTTGGCCCTTTTAAAATTTTGACCCTATTTTTTATAATTAAGTTGGGCCTGGATTATAGACTGAAGAGAGAGCCCTATAATGGCGGCCCTTGAGTGTGAACACGAAAAAGTCTGAGTGTGAACACGAAAAAGTCTGGGTATGTTCTGGGTCTGTTCTCTGCTAATGTAAAGTGACAACTTGACAATAGCCCTTGTGCCATTTTATTTTCTTCTCCTCGCATATCCAAAGCAACCAAACTATAATATTTAACAGACCACCAGACCAGAAATATGACATCCTAATAACTTTTCTTTTTGGTCTAATTTAAATGAGTCCCAATAGCTTGATTAGTTACTTCAACGATGTTCCTCCAACATGAGTTATCCATGATGATTTTTGCCTTAATTTTTCCCTCATATATAGCGAGCAACGATGGAGACTATGGTGAACATTGTCATTGACAAGTTGGTTCCATTGTTAAGGGAAGAAGGGAATTTGTTGAGAGGTATCCATGACTAGGTTACAAGTCTAAAAGATCTCATAGAGAGCATGACGTTTTTCCTAAAAGATGCAGATGCAAAAGCAGAAAGGGCAAACATGAGCACAGGGGAAAGATCTATGCGCATCCATTGGAAATATGCCTCACTTGAAAACATTGGAAGTAAAAGCAATAAATGATGATGAAATTATTGATTTACAACGTATCTCCTCTCCACCTCAAAATCTTCAATCTCTCGGTTTGATAGGGCTTCTAGAAAAGCTACCTAATTGGATTGCAGGACTTTGTCTTTTAACTCGATTAGCTTTATGTTGGTCGAGACTAGCGGGGGATCACGTTCCCTTAAAAGTCTTACAATGTCTACCCAATTTAATGCAACTTTATATCTATGAGGCGTTGAGTTGTGAAAAGTTGCACTTTGAAAGAGGATTTCTGAAACTAAAGGACCTCAGGCTCAAACACTTGAAAAGCCTGAAGTTGATGGCAATACACAATGGAGCATTGCCCCTTCTTGAAACTTTGTACTTAGGACCTAGTCTGCAATTGCAACAGGCGCCCTCCGACATCTGCCACCTCGGAAATCTTAAATCTCTAATATTCGTTGATATGCCTTCGCATTCCATGGATGTGATTCATGTTAGAAAAACAGAGCATCGTGTATGTCCCAGAGTTTTGTTTAGGAACACAAAAGGTAATAATAGATTCAGAACCGTGAAAGTAATAGATTTAGCGATTTTTGTGTAATGGGCGAGACCTTTTCAAGGAAGGAAGCAGCAAGTGTAGCACTCACTCATAAGTGGATGGATGGATATATGGCTTTCCAACACCAACCTTGTTATTTTTCTTTTTTCTTTTCCAAGTTGTAAGAAGAGTAGTTTATTTTCTCCTTTTCTTATTATGTAATGAAAGGTGGCAATGGCACATTGGCTCACCTTGGACTTCGCAAACATTTCTTTGATTATTTTGTTGATTTTACTTGGTATTCTCAAACAAAATAATGTCATATCTGTGATTTGCTCATCAGTTTTTAATTTTATTTTAAATTTCGTTGGTGGACAAGATATCATAAAATATTGAATTAGTCTCTTAAAAAATAAAATATTGAATTACTTCAACGATGTTCCTCTAGTACAAGTTATCCATAATGATTTTCGCCTTAATTTTTTCCTCATATATAGCGAGCAACGTCGGAGACTACAGTGAACGTTGTCATTGACAAGTTGGTTCCATTGTAGGTAAGAAGGGAATTTGTTGAGAGGTATCCATGACTAGGTTACAAGTCTAAAAGATCTCCTAGAGAGCATGACATCTTTCCTAAAGGATGCAGATGCAGAAGTAGAAAGGGCAAACATGAGCACATGGGAAATATCTATGCGCATCCATTGGAAATATGCCTCACTTGAAAACATTGGAAGTAAAAACAATAAATTATGATGAAATTATTGATGTACAATGTATCTCCTCTCCACCTCAACATCTTCAATCTCTCGGTTTGATGGGGCGTCTAGAAAAGCTACCTGATTGGATTGCAGGACTTTGCCTTTTAACTCGATTAGCTTTATGTTGGTCGAAACTATCAGGGGATCACGTTCCCCTAAAAGTCTTACAATGTCTACCCAATTTAATGCAACTTTATATCTATGAGGCGTTGAGTTGTGAGGAGTTGCACTTTGAAAGAGGATTTCTGAAACTGAAGGACCTCAGGCTCAGACACTTGAAAAGTCTGAAGTTGATGACAATACACAATGGAGCATTCCCCTTCTTGAAACTTTGTATTTTGGACCTAGTCCGCAATTGCAACAGGTGTCCTCTGGCATCCGCCACCTCGTAAATCTTAAATCTCTAATATTCATTGATATGCCATCGCATTTCAAGGATGTGATTCATGTCAGAAAAACAGAGCATCGTGTAGATCCCAGAGTTTTGTTTCAGAACACAAAAGATAAAAATAGATTCTTAACCGTGAAAGTAATAGATTCAGCGATTTTCGTGTAATGGGCGACACCTTTGCAAGGAAGGAAGCAGCAAGTGTAGCACTCACTGATAAATGGATGGATGGATATATGGCTTTCCAACACGAACCTTGTTATTTTTCATTTTTCTTTTCCAAGTTGTAAGAAGAGTAGTTTATTTTCTCCTTTTCTTATTATGTAATGAAAGGTGGCAATGGCACATTGGCTCACCTTGGACTTTGCAAACCATTTTTTGATTTTGTTGTTGATTTTACTTGGTATTCTCAAACAAAATTATGTCATATCTGTGATTTGCTCATCAATTTTTTATTTAATTTTAAATTTCTTTAGGACAAGATATCGCCAAATATTGAATTAGTCTCTTAAAAAATAAAATATTGAATTATTCAATGATGTTCCTTCAATACGAGTTATCCATAATGATTTTTGCCTTAATTT